TCCCAACTTTTTTCAAGGCACAACTCCCTTTTATAATACTGTAGCCAGGTAACCTGTGGAAACCCCCATCCCCACCATGTTTGCATAAAAAGCATTTTAATGGGATAAAGTCAGTCCCTTCTCAGAAAAGAGAGGCTGCTTTCTCCCTTAGAGGTCCTGTTTCTCATATGTACACATACATGCTAACTTTAATATCTCGCTCCCAAAGGTTCAGGAAGAAAATATTTAACAAAGGCTACAACACATATAAAATNNGAAAACCCCCCCCCCCCCGGTTGGTAAACACTCAATTGACTGTTCAGAATGGCAACATGGTAAATATTGTGTTGTCTTTCCGAAGTGCAAAGTTGTTCTGAACTTTTTTTATTGCTCAGACAAACCTGATGGTAATTAAGGAGACATAGTCAGGGAGAAAGGAGGAGGCTGCTGCCAGTGTTGCCTGTGCCTCTTCTGGTCAGTCATGTAACCATGGTGGTTTGATCAACCAGCAGGGGCAGGCCCTTCTGAGTGTGGGGGATGCTGGGACTGATAGTCCTGGCTCCCCATTAAAGCCCTATAGAGTGCTCCTACTGAAAGACTGTGACTCCTAGGAAGATCTACAACTCCCAGGTAGCACTGCAGTGCCTTCCTTGTTTTTGAAATGAGAACCAGGCCAGAGAAGGCAGTGCAGGGATTAAATAACTGGGAGGCTGATTTGCAGACTTAGGTTTCTGGGACCTGCTAGAATTATGCTTTGGGGATTCCTGGACAATTCTGAGTATTGCAGTCCAAAAGGACACACTTCTAACTGTTATATGAAAGCACACTCTGGCTGATTGGCATTCGAAGTTAATTTAGATAAAAGACGGGCAGCTTAGGTAGGTAGAGCAGACAGTTTGCATCCAAGAACCGACCCGGTGCTGCTCATCCACTGCTGTGGAGGCTGAGCTCTGAAAAAGTGGGTTCTGGGTTGCCTTCAGCCCACCCTTAGTTTGGATCCTTGGTCTGCTCCTCTGCCTCTTCGAGTAGAGTGCTGTAGTTTCTGGGTCTGTTTTCTTAAATAGATTATCTCTACCAGGTCTTTGCCCGTATTCTCTACAGTGCAGCTTTTAAAAGAACATGGCCAATAGACATAGTGTTAGGCATAGAAGGGCATCAGGCTGTTTTTGAGCCCCACAGAGAGCTGCCTGACAACCTCACCATAACAGATGTTATATGTAGGTGTTCAGGAAAATATTATGGTTGAGATAAATAGCATGGGCCGTGAGTTGCGAAGTCCACTCTTGAATACTCCTCTGCCTGAATGTCATTGACAAGCCACTCTGATAAGGAGACAGTACTGTACTACTAAAAGCAGGTAAAAATATCTCCAAGCACTAGCTTGTTTTAAGGGATGACCTTAAAAGTTAGCAATGGGACAGGTTATTTGCTGTGAATACTTAAAGGAAACGCTGTGTAAATACACTTCATACACTTCACATTGAATAAGCAAGGATAATCACCTGTGAATTGCCAAGGAGCTGAAGAAAATAAGAGGTGGGTCTGACCTGCTACTGTGTAAATACATTTCACATTGAATAAGCAAGGATAATCACCTGTGAATTGCCAAGGAGCTGAAGAAAATAAGAGGTGGGTCTGACCTGCTGCCTCTTTAAGGAATGTAATCTCTTGGAAGAGTATCACTTTGTGTTGCCAGTCCAGAGACAACTTCATGGACAACATCAGCATCATTTAAAATAAGAAATATGTATTATTTTGCCTGCTGCAGGCATAGAATACCCCACTCTCTGTGCATGTTGCTGTACTTGAATTCCATCTGCCCCCAAAGTCTCTAGAGAGTTGGAAGATTCACCAGAACTGTGAGGGACTCTTGCTTCTGAGGAAGTAGAAGAAAGTGGCATTGAACCCTCCTGCCAGAGAAAGGAAACAGGCTCCAATTCCATGTTGGCGGAGTAATCCTGCATCTAGGTGTGGGAAAGCTACGTTTAACTACTCGCGGTGCACATGCACACTGTGCTTTGGAGGCCAACGTTTTTAGTGTCAGTAACTTTTAGGTTTTGAAATGGAAAGCCTTAAATGGCAGGAAGTATGGTACGGAAGTAGGTATTATCTTTCTACCATCATATCCCTTTTTTAAAAAAAGGAGATGGCATGGCACGGTAGGAAACAGACAGCTGATATCCCAAAACTGTCTCCCTTGGAGCAGTAGCTGATACAGTGGGGTCTTGACTTGAGAACTGTGCTTTGGAGGCCAACGTCTTTAGTGTCAGTCACTTTTAGGTTTTGAAATGGAAAGCCTTAAATGGCAGGAAGTATGGTACGGAAGTAGGTATTATCTTTCTACCATCATATCCCTTTTTTTAAAAAAAGGAGATGGCATAGCACTGTAGGAAACAGACAGCTGATATCCCAAAACTGTCTCCCTTGCAGCAGTAGCTGATGATAAAAAGAGCAAGCTTCTGCATATGTTAAAACCTCAGAATGTAGGAAGAAATATACCGTGATAAAGAGACGTGTCTGTGATTCTCTGTTTGTCCAGCTCTCATAACAGCTTAGAGTTTAGCAGAGCAGAGTTGCGTTCAAGCCGCTTATTTGGGAAAAGAATAGGGTGGGCAGTTACTGTTGGTGGTCTCTGCTCCTTTCATCAGGAGGAGAGGAGTGTCTGTTTTGCCTTGAAGAGAGCAGTCTATGCTTACCTCTGCTGTGTAGCTTCTGCTCTATTTAGGAGGTGCTGCTCCATTGGTGACCTGGTCATTGGATCCTAAATTGCCTATTTTAAAAGTACGTAAGTGGTTGTAACTTTGCCTTTGAGGTATGTGGCATCATGTGTGTACTGTATTTGGTCATTGGCTAGGTTGCCCACATGATCTTCCTCAGCAGCCTTAGAAAGGAAAGAACAGGGAGTATGCCCTGTGTGTTCCTTGCAGATTTGCACTGGTCTTTTGCAGAGGATGATTACAGGGTGGAGTCTATCAGAGGGCAAAGTGTAAGACTGTCTATAGCAAACTAACAATCTCTTTTGGGTCAAAGTCCTCTTGGTGCCAAGGTGTCTGAAGAGAAGTTTGAAAACATTCCACTGTCAAGCAAAAATTTAAGGCATGTGACTAAAAATGTGACAGTGGTGCATCTTACTTTTACAGTCCACAGTTGTGACATACATTCCCATCTCTTGAACATGTTTCTCTTCAGGCCAACTATTGCATATTCAGAGGTTAAAAGCCATCAAAATTAAGGATGGGTTGACTTCTTGCCAATTCCTTGATTTTTGTTAAGAATTTGTGAGTTTTGTGTTCCAGTAAACAAAGCCTCCATAGCAGATAGAAACGCTGCTATAATTCTAGTTTGTTCTCATCAGTGGCTAATAAAGGTAAAGGTCCCCCTTGACAATTTGTCCAGTCGTATCCGAGTCTAGGGCGCGGTGCTCATCCCCGTTTCCAAGTCGTAGAGCCAGCGTTTGTCCGAAGACAGTTTCCGTGGTCACGTGGCCAGCGCAAACGCAGTTACCTTCCCACCATGGTGGTACCTATTTATCTACTCGCATTTGCATGCTTTCGAACTGCTAGGTTGGCAGGAGCTGGGAGAAGCGACAAGAGCTCACTCCGTTGTGTGAATTTGATCTTGAGACTGCTGGTCTTCCAACCTTGCAGTACAGAGACTTCTGTGATTTAACCCGCAGTGCCACCACGCCCCATATGCATGTGCATGCTTTTCCCCCCAACACCTAATTCATGGAATACAAATATTTCCACAATATGTATATCATTTCATGATTGAAAACACTGTAAAAATGAGTCTCCTCTAAAATGTGATGGGTAGAGGTGGCTTTGTGTTATATAGGAGAACAATCAATTCTGCATAGTGGTTCTCTGAAGGTATCAGATTAGCTTTAGGAACACACAGTAGACTGGGTGTGAGATGATGTTAAAGATCGTCACCTTCTAAAGCTGCCTGTTTAATTTTCAAAAGGGTCCTTTGCCTGAGTGTGTTCGCATGGGATTAGTTGACGAAAATATTCCTGAAAACTTAGAGAAAGCTTTACGCTGGAGCTAATGGATCTTGGCAGAATGGCCCAGTGTGTTCCAGACAGTGGTCATGGGATTCTGCTGGTTTCTGTTTCTTTTCAAAGGGAATTCTTCAAACAAGTTTTCCCGTCTAATATTACTATGCCTGTGGGCTCAAGGATCAGTCAGTTCCAGTGGCTGATGTGTCACTAACACCGTGGGAAACTGGGTTGAGGCTCTATCTGTCTTGGAAGCTAGACTTGTCCAAGCTTGTCATGCCTGCCTTGAATTTTTCTTTTGCTGGATTTTTTGGAGAAACTTCAGCGTGTTCAGACTTGGCATTCCTGAGGTGAGATATGAGTGCTGGTGGAAACCAACCCATCCTTCTTTACTTTCCAGCAACCAGAGGATTTTAAAGCTGCTTAGCCCACCAGAACTGGCAATTCAAGAGTGTGGAATATTTCCCCCTCCCCAGCCTGTCTTCTTAGCCACCTCCTAGAGGCCCTTTCATGAGCGAGCCCTCTGTTTAAAACTTCACAATGACAATCACCTAGCAGCAAATTGGAACACCATAAATGTCGGAGTCAGTTCTGGGATGCTCCCAGGGGTCATAGGATTGTTCAAATTTTCCTCTCTGGGGCAGTAAGAGCTCTCTTCTTGGAAAAGAAGAACAGCCCTGGAAGCCTTTCTGGCTTGTGGCAATGGAAAAGGCGGTGCCTGTTTTGTCTCCTTTAGAAGGACCAGTAGGAGGTGTGCCAGAAAAGGCTGTTGATCTGGTGGATCCAAAGGTGCCTCATTCCTTTGACATATATCCAGTTCAGAATAGGGCAGAAACTATACAAGCCTTAGAATTGTACAATTTATTTTCTATCCATTGCGTAAATGGTGGGATAGTATAGTGGGTTTTTTAAAAAATGAATAATTACTGATTTGATCTTAGATCCTCACTTACCTTCTTTGCTTTCTTCTTTTTTTGAATTCACACTTGTATTTTTTATCCCCTTTCTGCTGTTTCTGCAGCTTTTTCTCTCCTGCTTCCTTCCTGTTGGTGGCTGGGCTGCTTCTCCCATGATTTTTCTGCACTTAGAACAAGCTGTGCCTTAATCAATCAGTTCAGACCGGCCTTCCTTCACAGGTGTGTATAATATGGAAAAATCCTTCTTTACTGTTATAATGTTCTGTTGGTTTTGGTGGTGGGTTCTGTTTCCTCCAGATTAACTGTCTTAAAATTTTGGGAGTTACTTCTATGGTAAGAGGAGTAGAACTCGCAAGGGTTGGGAAGATATACAAACATGGGTATGATTTCCTTCCAGGATCTCCATAGCCACCCATTCCTTTGTGTTGCCTCCCAAAAAGTCAGCTTTATGAACTCTTTAAATAGATTGTGTCTCAAGACATTCCTTTTGGACTGATGCCCTGTTGTCCTGCCCATTTGCACTAATCCTAGGTTGAGGAATCTGGCTTTCAAAAAAACAAAAAACAAAAAACCTTTCCTCTCTTTGACCATCTAATTATATGTGTTATTGATGGTTGACAGTTACATCAAGATTTACAGCCGTTCATGTGTGGCTTTGACATTATAAAATGGGGTGAAGAAGGATTTCTAGAAGGGAAGTGTCATGGGGAAATACCAGTGCACTATTAAAAAAAAGAAGTCATCTGAAGATTTAAGAAGTGGTACTGTTTCCCACACCTTAATTGGTCATTTTTTCAATCGTGCTTCCAAGTTACCCCATAATTGAGGCTCTCTGGAAGACATAGAGTGAATGCATACAAACACTTAAAAATATAAAATGGAGCACACCACTCTGGTAAAGGCCATAGAGAAATATGTGCATAGCTAAGGAAATTAACATTTACCCCTCAAAATACCTTGGACAGAATAAACTGGATAAAACCAAGTAATCACAATGACATCTACAGGGTATTGCTGTAATAGTTCCATATAAAAGCATTTTGTATTAATTCATGGTGGGATTTTTTTTGCTGCTTCCCACCCTACGAATATGTGCTTGAAAAAAGACATTGCAATTTCTTAGGAGTTATCCCTTTCTGCTTTTCTGATACTGTACAAGTTTTTCATCTTCCTGCCTGATGCAAGCACAATTTTAGCAGGTCATAGGGTCAGCTAATGTCATGTTCCCTGCTGCCACTCTTTAAAGTGGTAGAGGTTGTTGCACTCTGGCGATAGTGCATTAAAATTAAGCCAGCTTCGAGCTTCTTGGTTAGAAGACAAGGGCTTGTGCGTGGCCAGGCCAGTTAGATCTGGAAGTGCTGATACAGTAGAATATGGAAACTGCAGCCAGATTACACTAGATATATAAAGGCCATATGTTGAAGATGAAGTGGCCTTCTTTAAAGACGGCTGGCTATCTGTAGAAGACAATAAGCAGATGAATGAATAGTATAATAAGAGGGGTTAACAATCAGTTGTTCACTGTTTTAAAACAAAGAGTGCTTTCACTGCGAGACTTGTTTACAGGAAGAATTGGGCTGAAGATGTGATCCAGACTCTTGCTTCAAGGCAGAGGTCTCTCCCATGCATAGAGCACTAGCATGGCAGTGCAGTATTACAGATGTTCTAAATCAGTGGTTCTTAACCTTGGGTTACTCAGGTGTTTTTGGACTGCAACTCCCAGAAGCTTTCACCACCAGCTGTGCTGGCTGGGATTTCTGGGAGCTGCAGTTCAAAAACATCTGAGTAACCCAAGGTTAAGAATCACTGTTCTAAATAAACCACACAGTGATGTGCTGTCTCCTTTTTCTACATATACTGTAAGCAGGGTAAAACACATAGTAGTACATTTAACATTGTGCTTCATGGCAGATAGTCATGTAATTTACTGCTAAAGTGACAAGGAGCAAGTGAGCTAGAAGTAGAGAAACCCATCATCTGTTTATGAGGAGGTATAGCTTGAGCCCATAAAGAGGCAAAATCCTGAGTGTTTAACATTAAAGCTGTGCTTCAGTGCACCACAGTGATGTGGATACCAGGAAACCATTTCTGTTATACTCAGTAAGTGGGCCTCTTCATGGAGCAAAGTCTGAAGAGAAGGAATTGTTAGGCCGCAGTCCTAGATTCCTCCAGCATGCCCCCTCGATTTCCTCCAACATGCCCCCTCACCGTTGAAACCCATGTGAATAAGATTTTCTTTCACACACTGTGCTTGCATAGTTAATCTATTGTAATTGTTGCCTCAGGGAGGCTGGTAGCCTTGGTTTTTCCTGCTCTGATGATTTGGTGGGAGGGGGAAAATTAGATGTAAGATGGCCTTTCATAAATTTTTAAATCTCACTCTTCCCCGACCTAAGACTTTTCTTTCTCTTTCTCTCTCCCCTTTTCCCCAATTGGTGTGTGCGTGTATGTGTATGAAGTGAGGGGATCCTTTCCCCCGCCACCCTCCTTACTGTGTGACACCAGTTCCCACAAATCCTGTGGCACCTTCCTGTCTTGCACCCACTTTCCCCCCCGTGTGGGGCCTTCACAACATGGATGACTCGGAAGTGGAGTCGACTGCCAGTATACTTGCCTCCGTCAAAGAGCAGGAGGCACAGTTTGAGAAGCTGACACGGGCCCTGGAGGAAGAACGGCGCCATGTCTCTGCGCAGCTGGAGCGCGTCCGTGTCTCCCCACAGGATGCCAGCCAGACCATGGCCAACGGCACCCTCACTCGCCGGCACCAGGTAACATTGCCCAGGTGGGGTGGGCAAGCCAGAAGCTTGTCTACCTCTGATTTAAGTGGTGCCTGCTGAAGTGCCGTCTTAGTACCATGAGCTTCGTTGGAAATACTTTGAGGTGCACCTTGATCTAAGACTTCATTTTTTCTGTGTCCTGAGTAGCTGAGTGGTTGGCAAATGTGCTTTCTGATATACTGGCTGTTCCCATAAAATATACCTGCTCCCATAAAAGCTGCTTTGTTGAGAAATGGTGTGACAGAGAAGTCAAATAACTAGAGTAGGCTGGAATGGCTAACATACTGTCCCCACCTTTAGACTGTAACAAAACTGGTCAGTGACACAGTTAACAAGAATTTCCACCCTTCCCTTCCAGAAAAGAAGGAGAAACTCTGTCCTGCTGGTTAGTAAGGCTCTGTGACATAGACAGGCATCTTGGCATCCTTCCAAACCATAGAGGGCTGCTGTAGGGACTTTGGTGGCAGCCACCAACTCACGGGGCATCTTTTCTGCTGATGTTTGTGAGCAGAAGCTTGCTGGTTTGGGGTCAGCCCCTGTATGTACTCTCACTAGTAAGAGGTTAAGTGTCTCTGGTTGAGACCCAGCTCTTCATGGAAAATTTTGCATTCCCAGTGCTTATTGGAGGTATGCTTGTGGTGATAGCTGAGAGGGCATGACTGCTATGTGTGTGAAGAAGATGCAGCAGGAGGAACATCAGAGAGCCTTGGCAAGCTGATGTGCTTTAGAAAACATTCTGGGTTTTAAAGTCATTATTCTAATACTTTTTTTTACATGTTCTTTGCCGATGCCTCCTCCAAAGTGCTGTACAAGCATCTGAAGTCTCCTTGCTTAGCAGCTCATCATATATCTGGCAGGAAGCAACTCTTGGAACAGATGAGACAGACAAAACAACTAATAAACTGAAGAGAGTGCCAGACAGTAAAATGAAGGCCTACTTGCCCATAGTGGCAGTACCTGTCTAAGGCACTAAAATGTCCCCCACATGCAGGTATCGGTTCTTCATTTTTCAGGCATACAGGAGTGAAGTACAGCTAGGGACACTACAGTCATATGAGCAAGCTCAAATGATGTCTCTTCGGGTTATACACCAAACTCAACTAGCTTTTTCTCTCTTGTGTTGTTTCTGTTTGTTTGCCTTCTTCCCTTTAAGCATGCAGATGAGGAAAATAGGCAGTGCCATGGGATAAGAATACCTGTGTTAAGCTTTAGGGTTGCACATGGTACTTCGTGTGTCTTATTCAGCTCAGCAATTCTGAGTCCCAGACCCAGTAGATATAGACATTATTTGGGATGTCCTGTTGGAAAGATGCACGCAAACAGATTTCGAACTGCAAGTTGATGGGGCAAAGAATGGAACTTCTAAGTCTATCAGTTGGAGTGCTCCAGTGTAAGGCCTTACATTCAAATCCCATTTCATTCTGGGTAGTGACGATTGTGATCTCTGCTATGTTAACTGTCCCAAACATCTGTAGGATGCAGACAAGGTTTTCTTGAGTTGATTCATTAGTGGGTTCTTTTTCCCAGGATTTGAACTTGACTCTCAAGATAACCTTCTGTGTGTCTCAGTCAGTTACTGCATAGTAAGAGTTTTTTGCTTCTGCAAGTATCCTTAGGAGCATGGAGTCTGTGCTTGCATTATTTCTGGAAGGTACCAGTTCTTCTTCATGGCCTCAGTGAATCACACTGTGGGTGATCCGCGCCTGCACGGAGCCTCTTCGGAATATTCTAGGGCTTCTGCAGTAGCAAAAAACACATTCGAATAGACCCCCCCCCTCGGTATAAGTACCTTGGCACCAGGACACTCCCTTCAGTTTCTTTCAACTGCCATGTTGAAGAGCCTCGTACGTCTATCTTCTGAGAGCCTGAAAGTGAAACAAGTCCTTTTTACTGCTGAACTTAAGAATCTTTTTCTCTTACTAGTTTTCAAAGATACATACACTATTTTTAGTTTTTCTCCGTGCCTCAGCCTCCCCCTCCCACGCTCCGATTTTTCTTTTTCTACTCTAACAAGATCCCACGATTGGATGGTCACACAAAGTGCCTTTTTCGTTTAGATGAGGCGCATCAAACCTCCATGCAGCCATCACATGACTCTTCATCAACCACCGGCGAAAATCAGGGCCACCGACAAACACGCTTCCACCCATGAGCATTCGTAGCCCCTGTGATTACATATTTTCCAGCTCAAAAGAATGGAAACCACTCCTCTCGCTTGGCATCCCCAGCCTCAATTTACTCTACAGACCTACCTATGTGTCCGCTGAATCTGCCTCAGCCGCCTTTCCGACACCATAGAGACACTGGTTCCAATATCGACGACCCTCAGTATCCATCCTGGTCCATGCATGCTCCACTTTGATCTTTCTTGGGTGCTAGCCCTCAACAACAGCACCAACACTGAATCTGCCTCAGCCGCCTTTTCGACACCATAGAGACACTGGTTCTGATATTGACGACCCTCAGTATCCATCCTGGTCCATGCATGCTCCACTTTGATCTTTCTTGGGTGCTAGCCCTCAACAACAGCACCAACCTAGACACGCAGTCCGTCATTATCAAGACGCAGACTTTGACACTGAGATCCCATCTCGTTTACCTCTGTCCATGGATGCACCTTTGACATTGATACCTGTCGATGTGGACAAATGTAGACATGGTCTAGAGGGGTGGGGTAAAAATCAAATAAATAAATAAATAAATGGACATGCCACACTCTTCAGTGGCAGACCACCGTCAACATTACTGTGTTCAACATTCTCTTGGGTCGACAACTCTTGATGTGGACAAATGTCCATGGACATGCCACACTCTTCAGTGGCAGACCACCGTCAACATTACTGTGTTCAACATTCTCTTGACACCGAAGTCGATCGACGTTCTATCAACTCCAGGCTCGATCCCGAGGTCTCAGAACATGGTTCATGACCACAAACTCCTTCAACATCCTCTTGACACCGAAGTCGATCAACGTTCTATCGACTCCAGGCTCGATCCCAAGGTCTCAGAACATGGTTCACGACCACAAACTCCATCTGTGCTTCTCACATCACCAGATTCTGACCTTGCAGATGTAGATCCTCCATCCCCAGCAGAGGATTTCCAAACTTATGCTCAACTCATAATCCGCATGATAAGTCACTCAATCTTCAAATCCATCACCCCACAACCGAACCAGCGGATCACCTTTATGATCCTATTTCTAAGGACACAACTACCCCAGTCCTTATTTCCATGCTACCATCTCTTCTTAGCACTGCTCATCGATCTTGGACTAAACCAGCCTCCTCTCACTCAGTCTTGAAAAGAATCGATAATCTCTGTGGGATACACAACCCTGGAGCACTTTTTCTCCAGAAACAGCCGGCCCCAAATTTGATATTTGTCGAGGCCTCACAATCGCGATCTCGACACTGACAGTCCCTTATCCCACCTAACAAAGACAGTCGAAGAATTGACTCTATGGACAGGTGGCTTTACTCATCAGTGGCTTTTACTATGAGGGTAGCTAACTACCACAGAGCTATGGGGGCATATCAACGCTTCCTTTGCTGTCGAGGCCTCACAATCGCGATCCCGACACTGACAGTCCCTTATCCCACCTAACAAAGACAGTCGAAGAATTGACTCTATGGACAGGTGGCTTTACTCATCAGTGGCTTTTACTATGAGGGTAGCTAACTACCACAGAGCTATGGGGGCATATCAACGCTTCCTTTGGGATGACATGGCCACTTTTCTTGACTCTTTACCAGAAGACAAAAAAGTATTAGCACAAACTTTTCAGCACAAAGGTCTCTCTGTCGCCAAACAGCAAACGTTCTCTGCCAAACACGCAGTAGACACCACAGCTAAATCCATGGCTACCTCTGTTGTGCTCAGTCGTTTCTCCTGGCTAAGAACAGCCGGCCTTGCAGAAGATGCCTGAGCACCTCCCATTTGATGGCACCGGTCTCTCTAATGCTGAAACTGATGACATCTTGGAAAATGTTCAAAGGAAATGTTCCACTGCCAAAAGATGAGGTGTCTATCCCACCTGTCAACAGCGCCCTCAGTGCAATCAATGGAGGCAACCTTACAATTCCTACCAGATGTTCCAACACGCATCCCAATGTCAGAACCTTTACACACCATACTTGAAACAACAACAATACAAACAAAAACCTTGCCAGCAACCTATCCAAAGGCGCAATGACCGCAAACTCAAACATCATGTTTGACGTTTTCCCGACCAAGATCGCAAATCAACCCCATTTCCTCTGGGAACACTTACCCTGCCTGGAAGTCCATCACCACCTACACCTGGGTTCTTTCCATTGTCCAAAACGGATACCATATCCCATTTCCCTCCATCCCATCATATTGTCACTCCACTGTCCCAAACTCTGCAAGAAGAGATTAAAAATTTACTCATCAAGGACACAATAGAACCTATACAGCAAAACAACGTTTCTCTCTCGTTATTTCACTGTCTCCAAAATAGTCTGAGTTTTACAACCTATTCTAGACTTTGAGGACTCAATCAATATGTCATCACCACAAAATTCCATACGGTAACCCTTGAATCCATTCTACCTCTTCTCAGAAAAAATGACTGGTTCACAGTCATCGATGCATACTTCCACATCTCCACCTACTCCTCCCAGAGTCAGTTTATTTGATTCCAACTCGGGCCCCAAGCCTACCAATTCAAAAGACTTCCTTTTGGATTGGCAACAGCTCCCAGAGTCTTCACCAAGTGCATGGCCCCAGTGGTTGCTTTTCTCAGACTTCCAAAGATCCTCGTCTTCCCATACATAGATGACTGGCTCCTTGTAGCTTGTTTCCACCATGAAGCTTGCCGAGACACCCTTTTCACCTTATCTCTCCTTCGCAATCTCGGTCTTGCAAAAATCCAAAATGAGCCCTACAACTTCATTTCCCTCCTCCAAGGTTTCACTCCCCCATGCCTTGGTTCCTGCCATCCTCGTTCAATGTGTACTAGGCACCATGGCCTCCATGGCCTCAGTTGTACAACACATACGCCTGAAGATGACGTGGGCAAAACCAATTGTGGTTTCTTGCACTTTTCAACCCACTGACAGATCCTCCCAACACTCTTTTAAGAGTTGCTCCCAAACTGGCCTCACAACTCCAATGGTGGTGCTTCATCCCAAATCTCTCTATGGGATGCCCTTTCCAGCAACCACGTCCTCAAATAAAAGTCACAACCGACGCCAGCCTTACCAGCACATTGCGGCTCTCTCAAAGTACACGCCAGTTGGTCCCGCAGAGAATGTTCACTCCACATCAGTTAGAACTATTAGCAATAATAAAGGTATGCAAAGCATTCGGAAACATTCTAGCTGGCAAGGTGGTCCAGATTGCCACTACCAACACCACAGCTATGTACTATATTCTCAAACAAGGAGGCACCCACTCCCCAAGCCTCCTCTATTTGACAGTCGACCTATGGGAATGGTGCCTCTCACACCACATAGGCCTCACAGCTCTGCACATCGCAGGCCAGGACAACGACCTAGCCAATTTTCTCAGCCGCACAAACTCACAACCCCACGAGTGGGAATTAGATCAAACAATTTCCCTCCACCTGTGCAAAAAATGGGGAAAACCGACTCTAGATGTTTTTGCCTCCCACAAGAATCGGAAATGCAAGCGCTATTGCTCCCGTGCCGGGATCGGCAAACACTCCTGAGGAGACACGTTCGTTGGCCACTGGCCCAAGACCCTCACATACCTCTTCCCACCATTCCTGCTCCTCCACAAGGTAATTGTCCGAATAAAACAGAACAAACCGAATGCCATCCTCATTGCTCCTTAGTGGATGAGACAGCCCTGGTTCCCAGTGCTATACCACCTGTCCTCCAATCTATCACCTCTCCCGCCTACCACACCTCTTCACGCAAAACAACTCCCGGATCCTTCATCCCGACTTACCTGCTCTGCACCTGGCAGCGTGGAGGATTCTCCCTCCTTGATGGATGTTCTCAATCAAGCAAAGAAGCCCTCAATTAGAAAAGCTGACCTGTATAAATGGAAAAAATTTCAATCTTTTACTACAGCTCTTTCCCTTCCTGCCGTCAACCCGTCTCTCTCCACGGTTCTCCGATATTTGCTCCATCACAAATCTTCTGGTCTTTCTCTCTTGTCTTGTTAGAGTCGGTCTCTCGGCAATCGTCTCGTACCAACCACCGACCTCTCCAGCAACTTGTTTTTTCAGACATCCCACGCTCAAGCGCTTTCTTAAGGGATTGTCACAATCTGACCCAGACGTTCACCTGCCCTCTCCACAATGGTCCTTGACCTTAGTCTTGCAACAACTCACTAAACCTCTGTTCGAACCACTATCCTCAGCGAATATCCATCTACTTTCCTTCAAAATGGCCTTTCTCGTTGCAATTACTTCAGCTCGCCAAGCAAGCAACCTTGTGGCCCTACACCATGATTATATTATCCTTATATACAGTTCTATCTTGATAAAGTAAAGCTGTTCCTTGATGTCTCCTTCCTACCTAAAGTAGTGTCTCAGTTTCATCTCTCTCTCAACTACTGGTCCTCCCTCTCTCCGACATCTGCGCCTCGGCTACGTGGGCAAAACCATCTACCGTCGTCCAACATTATGGACTAGATGTTCGACAGAAGTCTGATGTGGCATTTGGACGTGATGTTTTGGCTTCCGCCTTGGCATGACACCCGGCCTCCGGGTAAGACAGCTTGCTAGTCACCCACAGTGTGATTCACAGAGGCCACAAAGAAGAATGGCAGGTTACTCACCTGTAATTGTAGTTCTTCGAGTGGACCTCTGTGATTCACACATCCCACCCGACCTCTCCTCTGTCACGCCATGCAATATTTTTCTCCTTGCTGCGGTTGGCACAACTGAAGGGAGAGACCTGGTGCCAAGGTACTTATACGGAAGGGGAGGGGTCTATTCTAATGTGATTTTTGCTACCGCAGAAGCTCTAGAATCTTCTGAAGAGGCTCCGCACAGGCGCGGATCACCCACAGTGTGAATCAAAGAGGTCCACTTGAAGAATTACAATTACAGGTGAGTAGCCTGCCGTTTCATTCCTAATTGGTTAGTTTGACTGGAGGACTTGTATGTGGTACTCCAAAAAGGTAGAGAAACAGAAACCTCTAAGGATCTGTGTTCAGTGTGCAGCCAATATGAGCTGTGTCATTTTCAAATTGTGGCAATCCAGCCTTCTAGTCTCTTTAATTTATGGTGAGATGGGCATATATTATAGTTATTGGGGTCTTTCCTGAGACATAGTATGATTGCATGGCTGGAGGGCACTTGACAGCTACAAGAGGATTCCATAAACACCTTGGCCCCTTCCTACTGGTCATAAATTTGCCCCTTTTGTCTTTTGCAGAACGGCCGTTTCTTGGGCAATGCTGACTTGGAGAGGCAGAAATTCTCAGAACTGAAACTCAACGGACCACAGGTAAAAAGAGAGGAAATTGAAGATGATACTTCTGTTTGGGTTGCTTGAATCCAAACCAGAGTATTTGGATTTCATCCCTGATTTGGGGGAGCCTATATTTTTCTGTAAAATGCCAAGAAGGCTTTTTAATCAAGATCATTCAATGTTGTGCCTTCAAGATATTTTGGAATACAACTCTCAGAGGCCCATCCAGTGTGAGTGGCAGTCAGGGATTGGTGGGCAGCATAGTCCAAAATACCTGCAAGAAAACAGGCCACCTATCCCTGCTTTGTAAGGATATGTCTTTTGGGGAGAGAAAGTGTAAGTGGCTTAGAGCATGCAAAGAAAGAGACCAAGTCACTCAAACCTGAATACCATCCATTATTTTGTGTGCTGACTGACACCTTAATGTGAGTTTAACAGGTTTAACTAACAAAATAAAATTGTAGCTTGTGCTTGCGTGTTCTATTTGCTTGTGTTTTATTAAAGAAAATTTGCAAATAGTGCTGGGGCAGAGATTGGAAAAGGGGTTCTAGGCATATTGTCTACAAAGTAGTGTTTCCAAACTCTGTGCTGAAATTGTGGAGAATGACCTCCTCTAAAATTGCCTGAATTGCGCTGATATATCATCCCTTCTGTATGCATCCCTAGAGGGACGTGGTGGCGCTGTGGGTTAAACCGCAGAAGCCTCTGTGCTGTAAGGTCTGTAGATCTTCAGCTGTAAGATCGATCCATGTGACGGAATGAGCGCCCATTGCTTGTCCCAGCTCCCACCAACCTAGTGGTTCGCAAGCATGCAAATGCGAGTAGATAAACAGGGACCACCTCGGTGGGAAGGTAACAGCGTTCCGTGTCTAAGTCGCACTGGCCATGTGACCACGGAAGATTGTCTTCGGACAAACGCTGGCTCTATGGCTTGGAAACGGGGATGAGCACCGCCCCCTAGAGTCGGACACGTCTGGACAAAAATTGTCAAGGGGAACCTTTACCTTTACCTATCATCCCTTCACTTTCCTAGGACCACAGCCACCTTATATACAGCACCATTCCTAGAATGCAAGATCCAGGGCAGATTGTGGAAGAGACTTACACCATGGAAGAAGACCCGGAGGGTGCTATGTCAGTTGTTTCTGTTGAGACCTCCGATGATGGGACAACTCGCCGCACAGAGACGACGGTAAAGGGCTGGAGAGGGGTTATAGTATTGTGGAATGTATCCCTTCTTTATAAAATGGGTAGAAAGAGAGGATAGTTGGGTGTGCCTGTGATATATAGCACAGGCAGAATAGTTAATGGCAAAATTATTTTAAAAAAAAAGCAAAATAAGGGATAACAGAACCAAGTGTTGTTTTAGATTTTCATCTGTTTCCAGGGAGTGATTTATTTTATTTATTTTGTTTGTTTGTTTGTTTGTTCAATTTATATCCCACCCATCTGGTATATTCTACCACTCTGGGCAGCTTACAGAATATCAAAACAATTAAAAAACATAAAAACATTAGCATGCAACAATAACAAATAGTGCAGGAATAAATAAATAATAAATAGCAAAGCAAAAGAAATCAGTAGTTGACAGGAGGGAAGGCCAGGATGTACATCCATGTTTTCAGCTGGCATTTGAAAGTACCCAGCGTAGGGGCTCGCGAATCTCCGGAGGAAGGTTTTTCCAAAGGCGAGGAGCCACCGCCGAGAAGGCCTGGCTTCGAGTCTTTTCCCTCCGGGCCTCCTTCGGCGTCAGGCTCCTCAGCCTCACCTCCTGACTCATGCAGGTGATCCGAGCAGATCTTGGTGGGAGCAGGCGCTCCGCCAAGTATCGAGGTCCTAAACTGTTTAGGACCTTATAGGTAAGCATTAGAATTTTGAATTCAATGTGGAAACGGATGGCCAGCCAGTGCAGCTTGGCCAGAACAGGAGAAATATGTTGGTTTTTTCTCACTCCAGTAAGGAGTCTGGCCGCTGCATTCTGCACCACTTGAAGTTTCTGCATCAGCCTCAAAGGCAGCCCCACGTAGAGCGTGTTACAGTGGTCTAATCTTGAGATTATGAGCACATGTACCAAAGTAGTGAGCACCCCCATGTTAAGGTAGGGTCGCAGCCGGGCAATCCGCCAAAGGTGGAAAAAGGCGGTGCAAACTACCAATGCCACCTGGGTTTCCATGGTGAGCGTCGGGTCCAGGTGTACCCCCAGGCTGTGAACCCCACTCTTAGGAGTCAGGGTCACCCCCCCAGATGTGAGAGAGCCACCCAGGCCACCAACCCCAAGGGCGCCCACCCTCAGAACTTCTGTCTTGTCCGGGTTCAGCCTCAGCCCATTTTCCTGCATCCACTGCAG